CCACAGAGCTGGAGGGCAGGTATGTTCCAATGTGGACAATAAAACCTCAAGAAGATCTTCTTCTATCCGCTTAGGCTAAGTTCCCTCGGATGGGATTTTAGGCGGTGGTAACGATGGCTGTGGTTGTCTGGGATACGCAAATGTTTTCCCTAAAGATGAAAAGTCAGAGTATCCCAACCACAACCAAAGAGGAAAAGACAGTGAAGTCATTAAATGTACCATTTCAGCAAAGACGGTGAAAGTTCCTTCTGCGAAGCTATTGAACTTCTTCTCAACAGCACTTAAGCCCAGCCAGATGTTCACTCGCAGCTGCACAGGAACCTTGGGCCCGCTGTTCTTTTCCTGTGGGTACTGTGAAATGAACAATCATGTGCTGCGTTACCCTGGGCTCGGCACCAGCTATGGCACTGAGTCAAAGTCAAAGGCAGACTGAGCATCTAATTGTTGCTCTCACCAGTCTAATTTCATGTTTGCTTTCATTAAAATATTTCCAAATGAGCCTACAGCAAAAACTAAAAGAAGATCTAAAGCAGCAGATCTCCAAGTGTGATTCATAGATTCCTGCCTGTCCCTGAAACAGTCTCAGGAGGTTCACAAGGTCAAAACAATTTTCCGAATAGCACTAACATGGTATTTGTCTTCTTCACAGTGTTGACATTTGCACTGATGATGCAAAAGCAACAGCAGGTAAAACTGCTGGCACTGTAACAGGAATTAATGGAGTGATACCAACTGTACCCAGCAGTAAAAGCAACAGTAAAAGTAGTAGTAATAGTAAAGAAAACAAAATGCCAGTTTTACTAAGGAATCCTCTTGATCAAGCAGCAAAAATTACCAATCTTATTAAATCTCCACCCTTGAGTACATGGCTTTTCAATATTTTGTGTGATGAAATGGGAGGTACACATAAAACACTTCTGCAGCACAAGGAGTGTGTGACGGCTGTCATGAGAAAAAGCTCTCGTGTAATTGCTTGAGTTGTGAATTAAACTAAAGTTTTAAAAAATTGAATGCCATTTTTACTTAAATAGCAATTGGTAGACAAATATGGTTCTTCAGACTTGAGTATGGTGCAGACATTCTCTTGAACATAAACAAAGTGAGCCTCTCACTTCAAGAAAAATAAGTGACTGCATGAGTCGTCAATGACAAAATTCAAGCTTTCAAGTGAAAAATAAGAGTTTCAGAACTTTTATCTGTCACAGTGAGCTTGATAGCTTCCCAACATGTAAAGAGTTTTCTGATAAGTAATATTAACAAATGTGGCTTTTTTCAAAATTGTATGATGAAATGTGTCAGTGTTAGAGATCTGCATAACTCAGTGAACCAATATTTGGTTCCAAATGATCGTGCTTGATGTTACAAAATCATGAATGGATAAAAGAGCCTTTCGAAGTTCAAGAAAGACCAATGCATTTTAATGTAGCCAAGTATGAAAAATCTACTGATATAGTTTCATATTCCACATTGCAATTAACCTTTTAAAATATACCACTTGAGTTTGGTGTTATATCAGAGATGACTATCTACATTTATATGAAAAGGTTATTAAAATATTCCTCCCTTTTCCAACTACATATCTATGTGAGTCTGGATTCTCTTCATATATTCAACCAACTAACTTATTCTCTCAATTTAAATGTTTGAGCAGATATGAGAATCCAGTTATATTTCTGTTAAGGAAGGTATTAAAGAAGTTTGCAAAAATGAAAAACAGGATCACTCTGCTCTCTGACTTTTTACAAAAAATTAGTTATATTTTATAAATACATGCAATTTATGTTAACAGTTATATTAACATTTAAAATTAAATATGTAATTTACATGTAATTTATGTTAATGGTTTATTATTGTTATTGTTAAATGAATTAATAAATATTTTTAAAATTTCTCAGTTTTAATTTCTAGTACAGTTAATATTGATAGATATAAGCCCATANTTTTTAAAATTTCTCAGTTTTAATTTCTAGTACAGTTAATATTGATAGATATAAGCCCATAAAAAAAGCTCCTTGGGGTATTTCAAATTTTTTTGAAGTATAAAGGGGCCCTAAGACCAAAAAAATCCCACTGAATTAAATGGCTCCCTAAATTGGATAAGAAGTATTAACAAAAACAATATATACATTGTATTCTCCAAAAAGCATTTTGCTGCTTATCCATTGATTTCTAAAACCTAACACAGATAATACCTCTTTGTCTCCTCTCTCACCCCCTGTGAAGTTTTATTTATTAGTCAATTTGCTTCCACCCACTGCTGAGGTCAATTATAATCGTGATTCTATCTAAAGTAAAATTTAAGAGACACTCAAAAGAAGATAATTACTCTGATTCTATTTACACCCTCCTGATTAATGAGCAATGAGTTAATTTATTAAAAGTGAGCAGATATCTCCTTGTCTTAAGAGAATACTCTCCTCTGACTCTGTTATTTCTCTTCTCCATTTTTTTCCTCTCCCCCAAATCCAAAGAGCTCTAGCTGGGGTTGGCCAGGGAGAGAAGGTCAAAACATACAGACTGGCAATGATTCAGATTTCTTTGTTTCCAGCCACAGGCCTCCTTTGGTTCCCCATATGCACACACAGAACATTTCAAATAGGGCTCCTTGGATGAGCTCATGGGTTCTGTGAAATTCCTGAATTGTATGCAAAATATCAGATGCGTGTGCGAAGTGAATTCTTCTGGAGGAGAGGGCCAGTAGCTTTCATCAGCCACTTAAAGGAGTCTAT